TCTTACTTAATTAACTGTCCATCATGAAGATCTTCAATAAATTATTACTTTGGGGACGTAAGTAATGTTATTATTGTGGTAATTAATCATCATGATAATTATAAATACGACTTCATTTATTTTCGTAGAATAAACCTCATGTTTAATTACCATTTTTCCCCAGAGCAAATATAATTGTAAACATTTATTAAATTTATGAATGGATTTGTGAATATTAAATTATAAAGTAAATAAACCTTAGATTTATTGAACATTATAAATAAATATAGAATAAATTTGTTAGAATTCTTTCATAAAGGCTATTCGAACCGAATTGTATTTATTGACTGTAAAATCAAATTACAGCACATTTTACAAAAACGTTATTATTGTTATAGTTTATGGTCAAACATAATTTAAATATTTGTTTATAGGTAATATTGTTATATCTTAACTTAAAGTCCTTCATTATTTACGGTAAAACCTGTTTTTGTGCGGTCTCTATTTACCAGACCGCATAAAAAATTGTACTCAGAAAATGCGTTTTTAAAATGTTTCCATCTTAGAAAATACGTCAAAGATTTACGAAATATATGAGAAATTGCATCAAAACAAAATAAATAATTAAATTACACATGGAAACATTTTACAAACATTTAATTTCTCATTGTACATATGGGAAAATTTTCAAAATGCACGTACATATTCACTGCTGCTTGTGTTAATCCAAAACGCGCATCTTCTTGTGATGAATTGGTTCAAATTCGACTAACAGAATCGTTTGAGCAAGCTATACATATGCACACTGATTGAAAACATTACAATGCTGTCATTGGAATTGCTTAGATTTTATTTACCGCATAAAAAAAACCGCACAAAATCAGGTAAAAAAGTGATATATCAGAGAGGGTTTGTTGGTTTTTAAAAATCCAGTTTTAAAGAAATTTATACAATTCGGAAGCCGGTTTTTTCAACAAAATTATTAATTAATTATTTATAGATTATGACCTGATAAATCCATTCATAAGATATCTTCAAGAACCTGAAGTCCTAAAAAAGTTTTTAATATTATAGGTGACAAACACAAGAACGTAAAATAGATTCTTTATATAGTTTTCTAAAGAATAAATTTTATTGTGTTATAGTTTTATGAAATATTATAGAATTTTTTGTTTTGTATTTTTGTTGGAGATTTTAATTTGATATATTTTAATATTGTATATTGTATTGTATAAATATAAAATAAGTTGTAAAAATCCTTTCTCTTTATATTCATGTGAAAATTCGAAAACCGGTTTTGTAGAAAAGTTGAGGTTTTTAACATCGGTTTTTGTATAAACCCTAATATCAGATTAATAAATTGTCTGTTCTGGTGCCATTTGGACGTGTTAACTGACGTGCCATATGTCGTTATAACCAGTGTCATTTTATTAAGATTTACAGTAAAGCATATAGGAACCTTTTTTTTTCTTGAAAAAGAAGTAATTGTCGACACAGCACATTTCACAAAAACGTGATTTTTAGAGAAATGAAAGCAATCCTAAGATTTTCGTTTTATGACCCTTCTATATTGGACCTATACCTATGGAAAAACGTGTTTTATCCTTTATTGTAAAATATTTTGAAATTACATATTTTTTTTTATCAATTTGCGAAAATATGTAATCCTTCGTTTCAAAAGCAGATAAGATTATTATTTGTTATCGATGATTTTAAAATATCAACAAATATTATCGCTTAACGAAAATGGAACAATAATATCTATGATCCACTTAACAAAATCGCAATTACAAATTGATCTCAGGTTGTTTATTATGAATGTAATAAAAATAAAAATTGGACCAAATTGAAATACAAATATTACTTTTTATAAAATTAATTGAAAATACCGACAAAATTTCTTAGTATATTTGTTTAATTTTTTAAATGTAACACTTAACACGTCCAAAATGAATAACAAACAATATAATTAGAGTTGTTAACACTTAATTATCTCTATTATATTTATTGTATCTAAAAAAATTGAATGAAATATCACAGATAAATATTATATTTATTATAAATATATGGAAATATTTAATTAAAAATTTCTAGTTTAAGTAATAAATACAGTAAAGAAATTTACAAAACTTTTAAGATTTTGTAAAAAAATATTTGCGAAAATACTTTTACATTTAATTTAATAATAATATTTATAGCAAAATATTTTCGAATGAATATACTAATATATTTAATAACTTAGGGCGAAAAGTCACATAGCCACGTTTTTTATTCATTAAATACCTTTAAATTAATTAATTACTTTACAAAAATATTAAAGTAACTGATAGATATTTCAATTAAGTTCTTAACATTAATGGACAATTCGGGTGTTAAATGTTAGTCCATTACGTTTAAACGTCTGAGTAGTCGCTTTAAGCTGTGTCAACAAGATTTATAGTCCAACATTCAAGCATATCTTGATACTTCTTTATCTTTTGTTATCTTCTTCTACTGTTTCTATTTTTTTTTGAAGATGTACCAAAATGATGTTCCTTAGGATTGAATACATTTCATAATTTAAATATTTGTCGTTCAAATTTTACAATTTTTAAGTTTCAATTTTCCATTGAAATATATAAATTATTATTATTATTTTAGAAAGTTAAGTAAGATGGAAAGGATGACCATCATAAAGTTTGGGTTAAACGAAATTTGAAATTGTTCCTAAATTCTGCACATTTATGCATAATAAAACAAAATATTTATTTATTTTTTACAATTTTCTTTACAACAGCATCAAGCCATATTATTCTCGTAAATCAGGAAAGTAATATAATATTTGTCTCAGGTAAAAAATATAGGTGTCCCTTTCCAGTTCATTCGTGATGCGCAATGTGTTAGTTTCCTAAACTACAAACAAATTCAAAGAAGTTGTATAAATTTCTAAAAAAAAATAAATATACAGTGGAACCTCGCTTAACGAGTTTAATCCGTTCCAAAATTTCCGGATTTTTACTCGTATAGTGAAACATATTCAAAAATACACATGATATGTGTACATAAGTTTTAAAAATGATGTAGCAAGCGCGCAATCCGGAACTTTTCTTCTCATAGTCACTCGTTATGCGAAACGTCGCTCGTTAAGCGAGTTATTTTTCTTACAATTAATTTTGCTCTTTAAGCGAAATTCTCGTTATGCGAGGTGCTCGTTAAGCGAAGTTCCATTGTACTTTTATCATCATGAGTTTCTAGTATACAAGTTAAGATGGACAGTCGTTTAAATTTCAGTCATCTTCCGCGCATTATGAACATGATGACTTTGTGTCAGATTGACAAACCTGAAGTAATATAACAAGACAATAATACCAAAACGTTTAATATTATGAATGATATCGTATCATGACTTATATCTCAATATTTTGTATTGTTGATACATTCTCATTTTTATCTTATAAAACGAATTGCCAAATATTGATATGATATATATATATTTACTTTTTTGGAATAAAAAAAAATAGATTTCAAACTGAACTTAAACAAATTGAAAGGTTGATAAAGAAATCGTAAATACTGATAAACGTTTTATAAATAAATATATATCATGCGATTATTATGAATCTTGTTAAATTGAATACAATATTTTTAATGTAATATGATGTAATTAATTAAATAGTTGTGCGGGTTGTTACGTGTCATTAAATTCTAGCAATTTTGAAACAATTACAATGATTGATTCATCATGATTATAATGTATACTGAAAGTACGTTATTTATTGTGGAATGTTTTAGAAATATCGATGTTCTTGAAGAACAATAATTATCATTAATTAGAAACTTAAATATTGCAATAACTGATTATATAAATATTCTTATATTTTAATTATTTACATAAATTACTTATACTAATCAATATTTGTAAATTGATTCAATTACATGAATTGAAAAAAAATGTAACATTCAGTATCAATTATAACTTAAAAGAAGTTTACTTTTTAAAATCTTTACTATATGAATTGAGGTATTACGTGAATTTGAACAATGTTATTATCAACAGAATTATGGAAAATATTAAAATATTTCCGATAATTCACTGAGCAACACAGAATAATTAAGTTCACCATTATTTGCATTTACATCATACGAACGGAAAATGAATTAAATTTATTGATTTCATAATAGAAAAACACAATAAATTAATTATTAATCACCATTATATTTTTTGTAGTTTAATTAATACTAATAGTAATGTTATTAATATAAAGTATCCCTCTGTCTTTATATCTACAAAATAGGTGAAAACTAGTAAATTTTGACATTTTTTTGTTATAATGATTTTTATAAATTATTTAAAAAAAAAATTTAAAAGACACATTATTATATGTATTTATTTTAAATATTATTGCAAAATTTATTGTAAAACAAAATGAATGTAATAGAATTTAATTATACTTCTACTTTATTTACAAATTGGTAATTATCTATATTTTCATTAATCTATTTAGTAGTAATTTCAGGTTAATTATTAGATAGTTTTTACTATATATGGATATTTATATATTTTTATTTTGAAAAATTATAGTTAATTGAATTTGTAGTTTTTGCCCAAAACAATTTAATGTCGCTATAGTCTATTTTAATAAGTTTATATAAAAATGTAAGAATAATAAATGTTAAAATGCATATTCAAAAAAAAGGAAACGAATGTACTATGTGAATCAATTTTAAATATGATTGCAAACTTGATTTAATTGCTGGTAATGTATCTGTTTATATTGCATGAGTTGAGGTAATGCGAGAAAATTTTATGATATAAATGGAGATCGAAAGATACAAGCGTTATTTATAAATGTACGGAATGCAACAAATAATTGTGCAATTGTGGGTAGGTCGAGGTGCGATTCCAGGTAGGTTCCGTAATCGTCGGGTTTTGGCGGGTAAAAGCGAATGGCTCGGACGAGGGTTGTTTTATGGTGGTGGCTGGTCGGTTGTGCAGACGTTACGTTGGTTAGTATATATAAATTTGATCCCTAAGAACAGAGGCATTTAGAAGCACAGCAGCGTGACTGTGTGGGGCTCCTCCAGTCTGGTCCCCTTCTCTCCACGCCAACCACGATCAAACAACTATTTGCTTCCCAATAGTATACCATGAGAGACAGCTGTTTTTAGTTGAAAGAATTCATTTTATCAACGAGCGTCGTCGCCAGTTCGTTCCATTCTCGCGCGCGCCTTTCAAAAGCGTACTACTGCTCGCTAGTGTTTGTTTTTGTTCCGTAACGTTAGTTAGGTGTATTATGTGAGTGTTCGTATTTAATATATTTAGTGCCATCAAGTACAAATGTGCAATTGTAAATTATGGGAAAAACTGCGGAGGCTCTAGTGAAGCATCCCAGAATGTCTGAGCTCTTCGCGGAGCGCCGCAAGTCGGTTGCAGGCCTGAAGAGGTCCAAGTCGGTGAGGGCGAGTCTTCGGTCCATCGGTACGAAGCTTCTGCACCAGAAGTCCAGCAACGATTATATATCAAGGATGAACAGGTCGCCTTCCCTATCCAATATACATAGGAACTTCCTAGTGGAGAAGGAACCGGTGGAGACCATCCTGAAGACTCCGATGACTTCAAAGCAGCAAAGTTTGAGGAAGGATTTCTTGATGAAGGGACAGAACTGTAAGCTGACGCTAAGCACGCCGCCTCCGGTGATTGCACCAAAGGCGGCCGCCCTTCTGCACATCCCCATCATAGAGAACTGTGAGCCGACTATCCGCTTCCGCCCTAGGAAATCCCCAAAAAAGGACGACCGTCGAATTGATGATAACGACAACTACGACGGTTTTGCTACACTTCAGAGGTCCTCCTTACGTCTCTCAATCACCGCAAAAAAACGCGGTGGAATGTGGAGTTCTGCCGCTTTTTCCTCAACATCAAGTATGTTCATAAAATATTTCATATAAATCAACTTACATACAAGTTACTAGCAAACATAATTCTGTTACTTTTTCATCCAGATCGAGGATGTATTTAAATGATGTATTTAACTTTCTACTTATAAAGTTAACCAAATGTATAATGAGAAAGTCACAATTTCATACAACTCAATCCAGAGTTATTTTTTTTAACTATTAACAAACTATAATTTTCTATATGATTCACTTAACTAATAGACTTATCGTTATACAATGAAAGTTTAATCATTTCAACTGATAAATAAATAGTTATAGTTTTTATCATCATTCCCAGATATTTACATCATTGTAAATATATGAAAAGATTTATCTTCTAATTTTTAACTAAGATCAATATTTATACAAAAAACAATTCATAAATTCTTGCTTCAATTCAAGTCTTCAGAAAGAACTTATCTACTAATAAAATAGTGTATCTATTTAAAAAAAAAACATATTTCCAACATTTTTAGAAATCACTTTTACTTCTTCAATTAATGAATGTAGTATTATTTTATATATTATTAACAAAAGTTTTCTGTATGAATCATTTAACCAACAGATTTCTCATAACGCAATAATATTTGCATCATTGGAACCCACACATTTCCAAAATTATTTTCTACTCTTAAAATTTTACAGACATAAAGATTTCTGTAAGATTTACTTACCAATTTATATTTTTACATAGCTTCATAGTTTTAACTCCGGATATTTACATTTCATTTTTCTACTCATGAAATCAATCGTCCAATAAGTATTTTATAATATCATCACTTTTCTTAAGATTGAAGTTTTCTGTAATAATAATTTTGTATATGTACAAAAATTCTTTCGTAATTTTAAGAAATCATTTTTACTTATAAAATCAATTAGCTTTCTTACTAGACAATTATCATTTACAAATAGTTTAATCTTTTCATGAATTAGTTTACTAATTATTTGATATTAATAGCTTCGATACAAGAAACATTTCATCATTACGTATTATTCTTCAAAAATTACTTTTTAATTAAAAAATTAATTGATTATACAATAAGCAAAAAAGCACATTTTAAAACTTTTGTTAATGTCTCACAATTCTTCATGACAATAAATGAAGAAAGAGTTATTATCATCAACATATAGTAACAGTTTACTTATTGGGATGCAATTATACAATTCTTCGGATATTACTTTTACGTCATGTCGATTTACTACTAATTAATTTTACTCATTATAAATTACTTTTTAATAACTTAATTGTTGTGTACATTAATATTCATATTTTTACCTTGAACAATTGATTGTTCTACAGTAAAATCAATAATTCACCATGAACGTAAATGTATACATCATACGCATTAAAAATTAATTATAAAACTATTCACTGCGAATGATATACGTTTTAACGTATAATAAATTGTATGTTTTAATTGGAATTAGAATCATTGGTTAAATTGTAGTTGAGTTACAACGAAGTTATGCAAATGCATCTGGAGGAATTTCCGACAATCCATTAGTGATCTCTAGTACCTAAATTAAGTTCACTGCTCTACACATAAATTATGCTGAAGATTTAAGTACTTGTCTTATAAAAGTTCAAAATTTAAGTCAAATCTTTATTTAACTAACTTTTCAAAATAACAAAAAACAACTAGCTTTTGAATGTCTACTATAAGTTTTATATTATTTATTTGATATGATGACAGATTTAACGTTTGTTATAAACATTATCCAATGAAAATAATCTTTGAAAGTTAGATGAATCGTTTAAATCATTTTTATTTATACAACAATTTGCCAGTTACTTTGTACCAATATATCGTATTTATATTTTATTAGATTTTACTTCTAATAAATTTCATAACGTTCACAATTTGCCTTGAACAATCACTGATAAACAATGTAAAATGATCTATAATGATACCAGTATTTTCCCAGTGAAATTGGTTTCACCTTAACATATACAATAAACGTAACATTTTAATTACATCGTGTGAATGCTCAAAATTTAAAAATTCAACGAAGCGTACGTCTATTAAAATCTTTATATAACTTCAAACGAATTGTTTATCAGAAAATGTAAAGTTTCATTTCATTTTTATTATTTAAAAAAAATATTGTTTAAAAAATAGTCAACAATATTACTTAATGTCAAATTGACATAACTAAACATATGTCTACTGCAGCATCCAACCTACAATTATAACGTCAACCTAAATAACTATATAACCAAGTTATATAACCATGTCTCAGTTATTTAAAATATACGTCAATTGAGTCAATATTCGGTTACTTAATTTTTGAAAAACTTTAGGAAGTTTTTATGATAGCATTTTTTTTTCTATACTATTATGTAATTGTTTGGAATATCTAATAAGATTGGAAATTTATGATCAAATTCACGAGTATCATTAAACTGATTGGCCTATATTGTAAAATCATCAAATTAGTCATAAAACACAACTATATAAGGCTCTAACTGTGCATTTTATTAGATATACTTTGATCAATAGTTAAATACTTTAACTCAGCTAGTAGAATAAATAATCATCAAATCTTTATTCAGATTTTCTTTCTTGTTGACAACTGTATACTTATTCTATGAAAATCTATTTACATTTCTATACGCTTCATGAATAACCCGGGTGCCCGGTTCCTTACAAATAACATAGGGGTATCATTTATATAGAAAACTAAATTAAGGGATTTTCCAAAATCTAACCGTCGTTTTTGTTATTTAACTGACTAGGAATTTACATTTTGTAATATGCTTCAACCCCTATTTGGTGCTTATCAGACCTTATTTGCAAAGTTATATAAATTCTGCATCCATTCTACATAGCAAGAAACATATGTCAGTTAAACATTACTTTATGTTATGTTCTCACAACTCTCCCTGTTTGATGACATTTATGTATCTCTTATAGTGTGGACGTAGCTAATCATTTTAAAACTGTATACTTTTTAATAATCTATTTTATATACAAACATATTAAAAACTATACTTATTGGACAATTTTGGCAATAATTTAGATTTGTACAGTTATATACAAATCCTTTACATTGACAATATACAATGTTCACAAAAGAACTTTAAGGTTATGAGTAGACTTCCTTTAAAATACAATAACTTGACTCTACCCCCTATTCTAACCCTTAAGGTTTTTTTTACCTGCCGTGGGAACAATCGCATTCAATTCTTTGTCAATTTTTTTGTACAAGAGTAAAGCATTAGACTAGGAGGTTAAGAAATAATGGATTTTCATAGACCTAATTTACAAAGTTATATAAATACTGCATTTTTACTATACATAGCTACATGTCTGTCAGTTAAACTACTACGTTATCTTATGTTCTCACAACTCTCCCTGTTTGATGTCATTTATGTCTCATATCTCGTATAGTGTGGACGTAGCAAATTATTTCAAAACTTTATAGTTTTTAATAATCTATTTTGTATACAGACATATTAAAAACTATAATTATTGAACAATTTTGGCAATAATTTAGATTTCTACATAGAAAGCATTCAGTTATATACAAATCACATACATTTAAAATACACAATGTTCACTTTAAGGTTATGTAGTAAACTTCCTTTAAAATACAATCTATCCCTATTCTAACCTTTAAGTTTATTTTTACTTGCCGTTACTAGTAGGTTAAGAAATAATGAATTTTCACAAAAAATCCGTGCAAAATGAAGATTAACAATTGACAAATGTCAATGAATTTGAAAATCAAATGTCAAATGTACATGTGAAACTACAATACAAAAATCTTTTGTTCCAAGAAAAATGAAATCCATTTCTGCTATTATTATGTAAAACTACTTTCTTCAAAGCTTAAATTAAATGTAAATTCTTGACAACTTCAATTACCATGACATCAAATCTATTTAATCGTTAATCGTGTTCCATTTTTTTTTGTCAACAAAGTGACAAAAACATATTAAAAAATGAATTTAATTCTTTTTTAACCTTATTTATCATTAATTAATCAGACAAGCGAATGAAATGTCAAAAAATACATTTTAAGCTACAAAATCAAAAATGATTAAGTTTTTTTTTCAAACAGAAATTTGCTTTAAATTCCAATTCATATTATACATAATTACTGTAGTATAATACGCACTTTCTTTGATTAAACATTTATGAAATTAAATTATTTTGGAGAGCTTCCAGCTGGCGAAGATCCCTTTGATTATTGCACTTGAATCCTGCCTTAATCCGGCCCTGCTTTGTTCTAATTAAAACAAGTATACATTATTACTATACTGCAATATTATGATATAAACGTTGTAACGCAATGTAACTATAATTGACCAATTGATATGATTCACTGGGATCAAGCTTTGTATAAATAATCCTGTGGTCAACTGTTCTACGTATCAACTGGATACAACGTCAATCTCGTAATACTTAATAAAATGCGGTTTAACAAGGAATTAACTAAACTATACTAGATTTATTTCAATTTAAGGTTCATTTAAATATACATTTCCTACTTAGTATATTATCAATTAATAGCTCAATTTCTTGTACAAACAGGAGACACTTATAATTGTGAATCAAACTAAGCTTCCCAATTAATTTACCAATTAAGTGATCACTAAATTGATCTTTTTATAGACCTAAATTACTATTGATTGATTAATATTTGGCACAAAATTTTCGTTTTTTTCGAAATAAATTCTGAATTTGTTAAAGAACAGTTATTAAAATATCAATTAAATCTAATGCAGTGATTATATTACATCAATGTCTGTATTTGTTAGATTTCATTTTAATGTATGTTCAACCATTAAAACTTTCAGTCATTTTTTATTCGGTGATTTCATGTGGTCTTAAAAATTATTACTCGAGCAAATTATCTTCACTACAAAAATTAAATACTATTTTAATAAATTAATAACTATTTTTTAGAAATAACGTTATTAATCTTGCTTCTCTGCAAAATCAAATTGAAACGGTTAGTTAAGTTTTAATCGAATAGATA